AAGAAGCTAAAATTCATTGAGTATATGTAGAGAAATAAGTAGTCACATGCTCCTGAAATGAGTAGGTGCAACTAAATAGTGCTGATTACATTTTATTGAGGTGCCTGGAACATTTCCTGATGCAATTTTACAACCATAGCACGCTTTTAAAGAAAACAAAATTAATGTATTGTTAGATTTTGAAAGAAGTCCTAATTTTAACAAGTGCTTGGGGACTTGCGGGGGAGAGAAAAGAAGCACAGTAAAAGAACAACATTGCCATCTAGCGGTCTCTTTGGGTGGTTACTGAAACCAACAACTGCAAACGTATTAAGAACTTTACCCTCAGTCACAAGAGCACGCCAGTCAGATTTATTGGAGTTTATTTTATGTTTATATAGATATTATGATATTATGATATTTTCCAATAATTCAAGTATTGTATTCAAATAACTTTAAGAGGTTTACTTTTCTCAATTATTGAAATTATAGGCTATGTAAAATGATCTTATATTTAGATACAGCCAGAATATTATACAGCATTTGTCATACAGTTTTTATTGGTGCAAATTAAAGTACACGTGAACTGTGAACAAACACACTTTACTCGTTTTTATTAACTTGCTGATTCCAGACATTAAAAAATAAGAGACTAAAGTTTTAATTTTAGTCTCTTATTATTTTTTTTATTTTACATTGCATTATTGCTGCTCATACTGGCACAATGGTTAGCACTGTTCCACAGGTGTGAATGTGAGTGCAAATGATTGTCTGTCTCTGTGTTTTAGCCCTGCAACAGACTGGGGACCTATCTAGGGTGTACCCTGCCTCTCGCCCTGTGGTAGCTGGGATAGTCCACCCGAACTGGGAATCCTGAATAATGTCCATCCATCCATTCTCCTCATTCGCTGCAGACCCTGATACAGATAAGCAGAAGAGAGTGGATGGATGGATGGATGGATGGATGGATGGATGGATGGATGGATGGATGGATGGATGGATGGATGGATGGATGGACATTGCATTATTCAGGATTCCCAGTTTGGGTGGACTATTCCAGCTGGCATTGGGCGAGAGGTGGTCTGTCGCAGGAACAACAGACAACAACTCACATCTATGGGCAATTAAGAATCACCAGTTAAACTAACCCCACTAACTGCATGTCTTTGGACTGTAGGAGGAAGCTGGGGTACCCGAGGAGGACATGCAAACACAGATAGACCACAGCCATATGGTGGATTCAACCTCAGGAACGTCTTGCTGTGCAGTAACAGTGCTAATCATCATGGCACCATTGTTCCAAGAACCAACAGGCCGGAGCTTCTCAATCAGATTTAAGTCCAGACTTTGACTACTAAACTCCAAAACCTCCATTTTGTCTTGGTTTTGTTAGATCATAATATTATTTTATGCCATGTTATACCCCTAACTAAAGATTGTGAATTATTATGTAGTTTTAGTTTGCATTATTCTCTTGAATTAGAAGAAGCTGATAACTATTGCATTCGTTAAACTGATTTGCATTACATTAGACTGCTGATTTATTGTGGATGCATGATATTGTTTTATGATGTTATAAAAAATACTGTTTGCAGAAAGTCATCGCCTTATTTGTCTGATTAGAAGAGAACGGAACATGCTGGAGTTTTCTGCCCCAACTCAGCAGGAGCAGATAAACGGGGAGCCAAGGTCGTAGCTTAGGCGCCGTGTCAGAGAAAAGCATGTGAATGTTTAGGCTTTTATGATAAGGTGGGAGAACCAGAGGCTATAAGAGTTTGAGCAATGCTCCACCATTTTGAGATCTGAGGCTGTCTGCATACGGTGTCCATCTCCCATGCGTGTGTTCATTAAAATCATCGTTTGACTTAACCCGGCCGGACCAGTGTTGTTATTGTGGTTTTTTCTCTTGTCTCCATCCCCAATATTTTGAACCTTAACAGTTTGTTTTGTTCTTTTCATTCAGAGGTGGACCTGCTGGTATGTTTCAGATGATTGTCCTGTTGCATAATCCAATGGCTGGACATTTTCCTTCAGGATTTTCTGGTAGAGAGCAGAATTCATGGTTCCATCAATTACAGGAAGTTGTCAAGTAGTCTTGGGGATCATTGTTTTTTGGCAAATGTTAGATCGGTCTTTGTGTTCTCTTTGGTCAGCATCACTTTACTTTATCTCCTTGGAACTCTCCCATGGATTCCACTTTTGCCCAGTGGCTTTCTTGAACCTCAATTGCCTTTACAGAGACAAGTGAGGCTTATAGTTGTTAAGATGTTGTTCTGGGTTCTTTTGTGACCTCATCGATGATTTGTCAATGCGAGTAAATTTGTAGGCCGATCACTCCTGGAAAGGTTCACCACTTGTCCAAATTTCCTCCATTTGTGGATAATGGCTCTCACTGTGGTTGCCTGGAGTCTCAAAGTCTTAGATTTGGCTTTGTAACCCTTTCCAGACTGATAGATGTCAGTGAGTTTGTTTTTTATTTGTTCTTGAGTTTCTTGAGATTGCTTTTACCCAACTCAATACAAAATCCAATTTTGTATTTATTCATGTAAACATGAGTGAATAAGCTGTCACTGATGATATCTAGTAGCTATTCATCTGATCCATTTCCATCTTTTTTGCATACTCCACTACCACCTGTCTACATTTATCTTCTCAACACCTACCCAACACCTCTCCATCACCTCTTTTCCCTTCACGTAGACCTCCATTAGAGTCCACTCCAATCATGAGTCTCTCAAGCCTGGGGACACTCTCTGCCACTTCATCCAGCTTACTCCTGAATTCATCTTTCTCTTTAACTGAAATTCAATTTGTGGGGCACTGATAACATGCGACATCAAACCTTCAATTTCCAGCTTTAAAATCATGATTCTGTGTGATACTCTCTTCACCTCCACATCACTATTCACATAATCTTACTTCCAGATTGCCCCTATTTTATGCCGCTTCTTATCTACGTCATGGTAGAACTGTTTAAATCCACCTCCAACGCTCCTGGGCTTGCTTCTTTCTGCCTAGTCTCTCTACACACAATATATCTGCCTTCCTTTGCTCTCTCCCTTCACCTGTCATACTCCCCCCATTTAACGTCCCCGTTCTCACCTCTGAACTGCCTTTCTTCTCTCTCGCTGTCTCAGAGCATGCCTTCCTCCTCTCCTCGTGCTTTGTCATCACTCAACAGTGGCACAGTTTCTACCAGCACTGGAGGTGTTTGTTGTTCACCCAGGCTGATCCAATATGTAAATCCTATTCTTGATGATCCTAATGTTTAATTTTGCAAAGAAATTTAATTTAGAAGGAGGGTCCCGCTCTTCGTGACACAACCCTCCCTATTTATTGTGATCAACATTACGCCTATCTGGCTTGTGGCCCCTCCATAGCAGGGTGTTCAACCTAAACCTAACATTGGGATGATTATTTCCTCAGTTAATACACTTTTGTAATTTTCTTTTCATTTATTTTTGGATTTTTTTTTTTCCAGTTTCGTTTTTCTTATTTCAAAATGTTTAGGTTTTATTGATTTTATTTTTTTTACAATATATGCTATATTATTCAGGTGTAATATTTAACATGTCCAGAGCAGGAATTATTATATATATTCTAATTACATGTGCACCAAAGTTGCCTCTGACTAGTTGATTTGATTGTTAATTTTTATGCAAAACTGACTGTTAGTTCATGCCTTGATTTCAGTTAATTTGTTAACTACAGTTTGTTTTAACATGTCTATTGCATTTATTTATTAGTTTTTAAGTTTTGGTTGGTGGCCTATAGAAACTGTCAGTCAGCGGTTGTCACTGCTGACAACCGCAACCCTAACCTTAATCCTAACTATAACCCTCGGCAATCAGAATCTGGAATTGATTTTATTTTTTTATTTATTTAGTTTTATTTAATGTCATTTTTTTCCAAAAGCATCCAAAACACATGCTTAGGGTAGCATTCGCATTCATGATGACTTAGACATCAGAGGGTTAAAGATATCATTAGAACTGAGATTACAATTAATTACCCACTAGCCTGGTGATGAATTATTCGCATTGAAAAAATATAATTAAAAAGAAAGCTTTTTTTTCCTTATTTGGGCTACACTACTCTTAGACCTGTAATACTGATGAACACTCAGTATTAGAGTAACAAACTCATGCCTACCTGTTGAAAGTATCAATGAAAGCTAAGCTTTGTAATGAGCATGGATGAGGTCACATTTAATTTGACACACCCAGACACTAAATCAAACCACCAGCAGAGGGAGACAAAGACTGTGGTTTGTTTGAATCCGAACCATGTAATGGACTATTTGCAATTGTGGCCGTTTATGTAATTTACACTGATCTATAGCTCTCTACACCTACTCCCAGTCTAGAAGAAAAATTCAATAATTATCTCATATAGACAAAGTTTATGGTCTAGGACTCGACTTCATTTGTGTTGGAGAGAAGGGTTAGGTTTGTTAACAGGATAAGAAGTCTAAATTGTACCCTACATGTTGCCCTTTAACAGCAGAGATAGGGTCCAGGCTCCACAACAGTAAACTGTAGTGGTAAGGAAGATGGGCAGGCATTGCGTTGGATTCTCAAGCAATCAAAAGTATCAGTATTTTTGTGTAAAAGGACAGGCATTTTTACTTCTGCCTACAATTGGAAAATGTCAACCTTAGCCAGGTCTACCACCATTTACACAGCAAAGAGCAAACATTTAAGCATCTTATATTTGTTTAAGTCTGAAAGGTTCATCAAAACGTGGCACACTAAACAAGTCATTTTGAAGACATGCTAAAGCTTCGTGTACTTTCATTGATTTAAGGCCTCAAAACATCCATCTATTCTCCTCCGCTTTTCCTTATCAGGGTGCCTATCCCTGCTACCATAAGGCGAGAGGCAGGTAAATCCTGCACAGGTCACCAGTGCCTGGGCTGGCCTCAATAGTTATCTTCTGGGTTTCATTGTGCATATATTGTACCCACTTCCCACAGCAGGTCAAACAACAGAGAAGAGGACAAAAATGTTTCAACAGCAAGAGTGCTTTGTTCCATTTTTATTTGTTTTAGTACAACAGTTCAAGTCAACTAGTCACTGTATCTATTGAGATGCCAAAGTGTGTATTGCTCTTCTGCATTCCATGTGTAGAACCCTAATCAGTAATGTTCAAGATGACATCCATCTCCATATCTGGCATGTTAATTCACAGCTATACAGCAAGAAGTCATGTGCTTTGAGGACAACCCCGTGTTTTTACAAAAGCAAAGAATAAGCAGCAGCACGAAACATGATTTGCAGGAGCAAACAAGCAGAATCTGGGTAGCAAAGCTGCACTAAACACTTGTATGTATAACAGCCGATGCCAAAAATCAAACCTTGTGCTACTTTGAGATTTTTTTTTTTTAATTTAATTTTTCTTTTTTTAAATACACAGTAAGTGCCGAGAACAGGTGTGGTTCACAGGGACATTTTCAAAACGCACTATGAAATCTGTAGGAATAAAGACCTATGCATAGAAACATGCTTCCTCAAAAAGGGTATGTTACACACTGCTAATTTTCAAAAAGGGCAGAAGCTGCACTGACAAGCTACATAATCAGATGAATTAGACAAGAGGGGGAGGGCAGGATGATCCACATGTAAAACCAGCGCAAATACACTTAGCAGAAGAATTGATATCTTCACAAAGTGAAACTTGTATTTACTTCAAAAAGGTGGGCAGTGAACACAACAAAAATACTGACTGAACAAAAAATAAATCAATCTTTGGATACGTAAAAAACCCTATACAATCCCCCGTTTGTAACCTTCAGTCTTCCGAAGTGCCTTCTTCTGAGTTGGGGTCTTTGGTCTCCTTGTTCTTTCGCACCTCTTCCAACTTCTTGTCCTGTTAAACAGTACAAGATTAACATCTTAATAGTACTACATCATGCCCATACAGTCAAAAGAAATTACTGACCTTCTCTTTGAATTTCTCATTCATCGCTGCCATAATTGCTGTGCGGTTCTCTTTGTTAGCCTCCATCTTCTGGTTGAGCTTCTCCTCTGCCATCTTGCTGAAGTTGTTGTTCTCCTCCATGGCTTTCTGTTGCACTTCTTTTTCATGCTCTCGCTTCTCAGCTAAGTGCTTCAGAACCTCAGCTTCATGGTTCTGGGAAAGGATGGTTAAAAATACATAAGATGCTTGAAATAGCCCACCAGATTTTAATTATCCCAACCCATGCAAAATATGTCATCTTTTTACCTTGCGTCTCTCCTCTGCAGCGTCCAGCTTCCTCTGAATCTCCTCCAGTGAGACATCCTTCTTCTTGGGAGGAGACAGTGGAAAGTCACCCTTGGCATCAGGGGCAGGAGTAGCCAGGATGACCTCAAAAGCCTGACCGGAAGCCCGCTTGTCGAGCTCCTTAACCTGGATATCTGAACTCATCCAAGGAAAAAAATAAATTTAAAAAGATGTTTAAATACTTCAAGGTACAGTGAAAAAAATAATAATTAAGAAATAATATAGTGCATTAAAGTGTAAGACGTAGTTCACCTTCAGCGGATGCCATCTTTAGAGACTGCTTCAGGTCAATTTAACTAAAGGAGGGAAACATCAGAGAGTCATGTTAGCAGATGATTTTAAAATTACTGACGTCTAGTGGATGATTTACACCATTATCACAGAAATCATCCAAGATTAAAACCGGTCTCACTGGCGACGCCCTGTGGCAACACGCAAAACTGCAAGCAACCACCGCCCATCAATCCACACACACATAAAGAAAAAATAAGGGGAAAAAATGGTACTGGCATTCAGGGCGGTCATGTTGTACACGCACCATTGTTTATCTCCAGATATGAGGAAGCAGTGACATTCTGATTAAGCCACCAGCAATCGAGCCACTTCAGGAATGAGGAGGGCTTTTCAATAGCCTGCCCATCAGCGAGGGCTGTTAATGACACAAGTCACAGTTAGCTGAAACAAAAGGCTGTGATCGGGCTGGGTAACGGCAGGCAGTGGGGGAGTGCAGACAGGGCCTGGACTCGGCCTGTGCTAGAAGGCAAATATGCACCAAGAAAAATGAGAATAGTGAGCGATGAGCATATCTGGGAGGAAATGATCATCAGGGAGCACCTGTTCCTTGCACCATGTGTTGGAGCAGCGGGAGGGGAACACAGACCCACATCTACACACGTAACACAACAGCCGACTGAACAGGCAGCTTGTCTAATAAAATTGCAGGGAAAAAATAAAAAAAAGTAATTCCTCTTAAATGTGAGAAACATCTGTCATTCCATTTAGTCAAGTCGTAATGATGAGTGAATGATGAACCATGCCCAAATTCAGCTGGGCTTATTCAATGAAAAGACCCCTCCCCTAATAATTCAAAAAGGCGATCAGCTAGCTAAGTGTGGCGTTAGAAAGCAGCATGAAAAAAGAAAACAGAAAAAAAAAACCACCTACTTGGACACAATCTAATCTGAGTGAGGTTTAATTTAAAAAGCCCACACCTTGGTATCCATTGTGACACCCACTGTTGCCATTTTATAGAACTTCTCACTGAATGAGCACAAATGTGCTATTCTGCCAATGACATTACCATAATTCATGTAAATTTCTTGTTTCTGTGAGGCTGCTGGTGTCATTAGCTCAAAGCTTTAACAAGCACCCTCAAACAAAGGCGCTTTTGGCAGCACAGTGACGAGCAGCTGCAAACAAAGGAGCCGAAGGCAGGTCACTGCCACGAAAAAAAAAAAAGAAAAATCTCGAATAAAGATTTTCGCACAGGCGGCATAAATCGGTGAATAAGGAATTCGTAAATGTCTCTGCAGCCCACAAGTTTCACGAACATAAAAAAAGAAGTCTTCAAAGTCTACCCTCATCGCTGTCGGTGCCAACTGTGCCAGTGTCGCCTACCATACAATAGGCTAACAACCCGCCAAGCAGCAGACAAAAAGAGCAACAACAATAGGCGTTTCTGTCTCATTTTGTCCCTGAAATGTTACAAAATGAATGCAAATGCCCACGAGGGCGAAAACATCCACAAAAAACCCCGCCGTTAGTTTCTCACGTGCTGCCTTAACATAAGCGACAAACAACGAAAAACGTTGAAAGAAAATTGAACATACTGTCGAAAAATTACCAACTCCACTCAAGGATTAACCTCGTTTTGCCCTCATCTCCTCATAACGTTTAAAATTCAGACATATTCCTACTTACAGACGACAAAAATAAATCCTGTGGACTTTCTCGGTTATAGAGATGCTGTCAGTCACACCCACCTTCGACAACCTCCGGATGCTGTGCTCTGCTCTCACAGAATTTACCGCGAGCCCTCTGCGCGAGTTTACCAAGCGCGCACATAAATGGACCAAAGCAAGTGCCGTCACGCCGTTTGCTGGCCACTCATTGGCTTACCCCGCTCTCCTGGGTGCTTCTGGCGATTGTAGTTTTTTATGGCTGACAGTAGACATTGTGTTACAGTTATGTTATCGCTAAATATATAACAATTTAATGCACATTTTTGCTTCATTAAACTAACCATGTGAAGCAACAGTCCATAGTAGTGTACTCGAAACATATATAATACCAATATTTACAGGATCATTCCCCTAATAGTGATTTTCACCATGGCTCCACCCATTTATTTAAATACGATGGCCTGCTGAATGTAAATTAAAAGCCCGTTCCTCTCTCGCTCTCAAAATAAAATAATTTTTTTTTAAAAAGTTTGCTTTTCACCTAACAGAGTAATTCATGTCTAAAAGGGTTTTTTGTATTTGTTTTCAGTTTGTTTGCTTTTTTTTGAGGGGTGGGGGGTCAAATTGATTTTGGAAGCTAGTTGTGGTTCAGCATACATTTGTGGGAAGTGCTAGTGTTTTTGTTTGGAAAACAAAACAAAAACATAAAATCAGGTATTCATTCAACCAAATATACACATTTTGATACATGTAATGTTTCTGGAAAACCTATATGGAGAAACACAGTTTGTACCGGCCCTGAAACATATATAGTAGAGATTTAGTTGTCTTTCTTCTTCTAGTCATTATTTGCTAACCCATTCAATACCCTGTGAATTTCAGTGTAATCTGAAATGCACTTCCTGAGAAATGTAACTACGCATCATGTCTATGCAGCCAGCAATAACTAATTGACTCACTGTGTACCACCATTCCCCCCCTTACCAGTTTCCAGGTACTTATTCTGCAACCATTTTTCAAATTGATCAGAAGAGAACAGATCAACTTAAATAGAGACCGCCAACTAGTGTTTTGGCAGCATAACTGCACAACCACACAGACACACTATGCATGTGTACAAATACTGGCAACAGCAATGGCCACTTGCACATGCTACATCATAGGCTCTACATTTATCCACTACACAGGTCTATATTAAACGTAATTATGACCCTGCCCATACATATAAAAACAGTACATTTGAAAACAATTTTAAAAAACTAAATAAAAAGCCACCACTCCACTTGACTACTGTTTGTTAACTTTTAAATCACAATTTGGACTGTGAGAATAAACACCACCCTTGCCCCCTTCATTCATCAAATACCTGCAAACTAAAGACTTTATGTTAGCGCTCCATCTAACAATATCCACAGGTTACTAACACATGGTAGTAAATGTATGCTGGTATAAGCCTAGAAAACTACAGAACTCCATAACGTAAACGTCACAGATACCTGACATTTTTTTCATTCTTCTACTTTTTAAAAAAAAAATTTAATTTAATATGACTAATATCATCGTTGGACCAGTTGTTATGATTCATCAGAACTTGGTGGGTTGTCCCCCGCTCTCTCTTTTCTTCACTGTCTTTCACACATTCTCAAGCTTAGGCGTGGGCTTGTCTCTGGTCTGTTCCTGAGGGCGGAGCTTCTTAGTGTGGCTCAGCCCTTCCTCCTTGTTGACTGCACTGAATCATCAGGCTACTAGTATATGGAGAACAGGTGGTGCTACAGTTCTCTGCCAGACTGGTGTTGTTGCTGTACATCTGAAAGCCCTGTTTGGAATTTGCTGGCACAATAATCTACTTACTTGCAGTATGATAACAACCCAAGCTGTTTTGTTTTTCCTCCTCATCAACACTCTTGTTCAGTTATCACATCAACCTGTTCTATTTTCTTAATGAACGGTCAATTAATTCTCATTCTCTCCTCTGGCAGACCTCCATTAAAAGCAGACCTTGTTGTGTCTGCTTTGTGGGTCCAGCCTCACACATCACACACAATGACAGAACACTCTGGTCATAATTTGGACCCCACTGGGTCAGCTGCAGTACAAGAAGCCCTGTCCAAGAAGGAAGAGCTTTTGAGTCGGGATGATCTGGTTCTACCTGAAAGAGTGCCACACAGAGTTAACATCAGAGGAGCATACAGAAGAAAGATAAGACATTAAGACCATCGACTATCCAAATCATAATATCTGCCTTTAAAGTATACACAGCACCACCATCTTTTCCAAACTAGGTCTCAAATCCATATGATCTGGTCCACATCTGAGAGTGATGAATGGAAAACTGCTTTTAACACTCTGGTTGGTTATTTTGCTCCAGCAATTTGCCAAGCTCTGGCTAATATAACATTCAGATATCTTCAACTTCTTTTTTTGTCTATTTGTATAACATATTAATCTTCTCAAATCACTTTCTCAACACCAGGAACATTCAAAAGATCCTCCTGAGACTCCTTGAAAAGGGATTTTATGTGAAAGCTCCATGGTTCCTTCATTAGCTTATTACATCTTGGAGAGTGGTCCAGTAAAGATGGAAAGCTGTTGTGGAATGACCACTCCCACCAGCAGCAATGAAATCCAGCATTTCTTTGGGTTTGCAAACTTTACTAAAGAATGAATAGAAATGGAAAGTGGAAGGAATACGTTGAGAACCTCCTTAATCTCACTGGCACGTCTTCTGTAGAGGAAGCAGAGTCTGGGGATGAGGGGGTCAACTTGTCAACTCGTCCGGGATGAGGTCACTGAGGCAGTTAAACAACTCCTTAGTGGTAAGGACCCTGGGTTGGAAGAGGTTTGCCCTGAGTTCCTGAAGGCTCTGGATGTTGTGGGGCTGTCTTGGTTGACATGCCTCTGCATTGTTATTTATTTTCCACTTCTCTCTAATTTTTATTATTTTTCTTTCTGAGGTGGAGTTGAGAGATTGGCTTGTCTCTGGTCCCCTCCTTAGGGCACAGCTACTCAGTGTGGGTTAACCATTCTTCAGCTGTTGGCAATTGAATCAACAGGGTACAGGTATAAGGACAGATGCTGCTATACTTCTTGGCCAGACCATTCTCATCTTTCACCTGAGAGCCTTATTGGAAGAAGAATCAACTAACTTGCAATCTGGTTTTGTTCTTCCTCATCGATACCTGGTCCTCCGAACATCTGCGACCCACACTCAGCCTGTCTGCCTGCTCACCTCCTGCAACCCGAGGATACCCACCTGCTGACTCAGTACTTATTCCATACTCTGCCTCTCTGCAAGTAAGATTCAATCTGATTCAATTAACTTACCAACCTGCTATATTCACTTCCTGGACAATAAATTCATTTTCATTCTCTCTGACACGGTTTCTGTGACCCATTCAGCATTGAAGCTGTTCTAATTCCCCCATCCACTCTCTTAGATAATCACTTTTCTACCATAAAATTAACTTAACTTAAGATGCTCCCTGTTAAGTCTGCCTTGTAAGTCCAGCCGTTCTTGCATTATGACACCAGTTCACCTACAGTCAAGGGTAATAATGCAGCTTCAGACAGCGAGCATCCATCCTACATAAGCTCTCATTCTGACCATCAATCCCTCTGATGAATGTTATCTTACACTTGATTCTGTAGATTTCTCTGAGGAACAAAGGGGTGTCGGTTGTCCTGTCCTGCTATGTTTGAACTGAAGAATCTTTTCAGACCAGTGTGTCAGAATTCAGTCTTTTCTGCTGATACATACTAGTGGGGTCAGCAAACACAGCCATTAAAAAGACTGTTTTAGCTGCTTGCTTATTTACAAGGGGTCGCCGTACTGAGTAGTTCTACATGTTTAAACCCTTCATGCTTCTGTATTGTTGCCCCTAAACTGGGTTAAAACGGTCAATCACTTTTAATGCAATTAAATACCAAGATGTTGTTTTCAGCAGTTAAAATGCCTCATGTGCTGCATATTTCCATCTAATTTATTTATTAGATCCAATCTAGTGATAAACAGTAGCTTTGAAGTCCTACCTCGGAATCTTTTTCTCTCATGTGGCACTGGGTTTTTTTTTTTTCAATAAAACCACTGTGAGGCATTATGTAAATTCCAGGAGCTACTGCTGAATTCGGCTTCTATCGACCATTCTCAGACTATTTGATTTTAAGCTATTTTTAGCTCTGTGTTATTCTGATGACAGCAGGAGCAGATCAGTGTTTTTTCAGTCACAGTGATGCTTTGCTGAAATATTTGTAACCACAGGGCCTACAGTTTAATCTATTTTTATTGCTGTCACATGTATTCCATTTCATCTTTTGATTTGGGGCAGTGATTTAGGTTGGTTTTGAAGCTGCTTTCAGTGAAATGTATCAGCTAGAATTCAGCCTATATCCACATGAAATACTCTTTCCTCCACCGGGCTTCTGACCAGTGCCTAGTTATACTAATTGGATGGATAAAGGCAGATCCAGTGTCACTAACAAATTAGTAGAATCACTAGCAGGCAGGATGGCTTCACTGAAGTAAAACAGAATTACTCATGAATCCCCAGAAGTGGCTCAGTTTACAGTAGGTTAGGGAAAATAATTAAACAGAAGGCACATAAGACAAATGACTGTCAAATTAAACGGGAAGAAACTTAACACTAACAAAACTGAAGATTTGACAAGCCAAGAAGGGATACTGGGAAGGCTTGAAATAAACTAAAACATTAAGATTCAAATATAACTTTAAACATCAGCAGAAATAAGAATGCAAATTAAGATGAACTAAAGAGGACAAAGAAATGGATGCAACCACAAACATAAAGAAAAACACTAACAGCTATAAACTAAGAATGCGAAATATCAAAACTTGGATTCTAGTCAATAACAGAGAATGCTAAATAATAAAGCAGATTTCAGAGTTCAAAAACCACAAAATCCAGAGTCCAAAACCACAGACCATGACGACAATTACAGGAAAGGTGCCTTTGAGTACTATATCCACTGTTGGAGCATGATCTGTGCAAATGACAGCTGATGAAGCTGTGTGGGTGACTTTCAGAACTTCTTTAGAACTTTCCTGAAAAAACAAACAAATAAAGACACACACATGCATGCACATTATTATCATCGCATAGATCTATCTTTGTCTTGATGCATGCTCAATCATCCGAGTCAGTAAA